AATGATAATGATAATGATTATAATAACAATAATAATAATAATAATAAAAATAGTAAAATCCCGTTTAAGAAAGCTTGTGAGAAAGCACTGTTTTTATTCTTGTGTCGAAATGCTGAAGTAGATGGAAGAAACAGGGAAACGGCGTTACTTTATGTTACTTTTAAAACTGGACACGACAGGCTAACAATTAGGATGCCGCATTTGCCAATGCCAATTTACTACAGTATGGTTTAACATAACATTATGTTTTAACACAGGGTAATTTCAGGGACCTCCGAATCTAAGGTATACGAGACGTCTGATAGGAACGAGCCAAGCTTACTCAGATGCTTGAAACTGCCCCAAACAACACAGTAAACTCAACAACGTTAATTTGGGGTTTTATAGTAGAGTCATCCGCATCCTTGCCTATAGTGACACTAACGGACCAAAACGGAAGGTGCCCCACGACATATTCAAATTAGCGGAAAAGCATAATAATATATGAATTTGTTTTGTTTGAAATTTTAAAAAGTTCAACTACAAGTCAATTCAACCTGTAATGATATATTGTGAACTCACCACGCACAAATCCTGACCATCGGAGCAAGGGCTGAGGCGGCTTCAGCATCTCTGCGTTGATGAAGTAGGTCATCATATGACCTTGACTTGCAGCTTCGTTTAGTGTGACCACGGAGCCCATTTCTGTGGCTTGCTCCTGTTCTTGCCAGATAAACACGCCCCTAAGGTGAGGTAGTTGTGGGGTAAGGGGGGTGGGGAGTTAGTGTGTTGTTTTGTTCGATAGATTAGTTTTGAAACATGTTTTGAGAATTTTTGGAGGGATGGTCAAAGAGAAGAAAAGTGGAAATCAGTAAACGATTTGTTACAAAACTATACTACCATTACTTACTTGAATGTGATGTCATAAATCAGTTCAGTGTCTTGCAGCACTACGAATCAATCAATAGTGCACCACACCCCAACACAACATTGTTTGACTACTAACTGGCGTTTGAAGCAAACAGAAGCAATCCGTCCTTTTGACTCAATCATATCTGAAACGGATGCTAAAACAGCTCTCCCGTGGTCTAGATTCTTTCCTAACTCCAAAAATGCTGCCCGATACTCTGGCACGGCTTTCCTAGCACGAAATCTCAGCATGCCAATTTCTCGCTTTAAGAGAATTCTGGTTCTACGGAACGGCATAACTACCCGCGAATGAGGGATATGAATGTCTCCGTACACGGTTGTACGTAAAAAAAACCCCACCTGGGTTCGATTCCCGGATGGACAACCTATTCAATCTAATTTCTTTGTCTGTCTGCTGGATCGTAGTATCCTACTCACCCAGGTAGCTCCTCATAACCAGGCTAAGAGAAGCCCGCATCTTATCATGATCTAAAGTGTGTCGGTCGGGATATAACAGAATTACAATCAACACAATAATGGCATATTATGCTAAAGTATTAGTAAACACTGCGACCTGTATTTCACAAATTTGTTGGATGAAAACATTAGTCATATTTCACATGTATAACATTTAACGTAAAAAAAATGATTAATCGTGACTTTGTATACGTCGTTACACATTGGTTATAGGTCAATAGCAATGAGTAATGTTCCTCGTGTTGAAAGCATTGCGTCTGTCACCACACATTGACAGTTATGAAGTTTTAATTTTTGGATCTCTTTTACCTCGTACTGTATAATATTTCAAGAAAGACAGGATTTCAACATCACTTTAATTTGACCTCCATAAATTCCATGTTTCTGCCATGTTCATAGCCAAGTGCTCCTTAGTAATCTCTTACTAAAACGTTTCATTTACAAGTTCTACGTAATTTTGACCGCAAGTGGAAAATATTGGAACTAGCAAAATCACCTGATGATGAATATATCCAGCATATGCGTTCGTCGCGCCGCGATTTTTTGAATTTTCTGGTTCGCGAATCGCGGCCGCGATTTTTGCTTTTTTTTCAAGAAAAATCCACCGCCGATAAGAAGAAAATAATCTAAAAACAACAAAAATAAACGGGGGATAATACTCGTGAAAAAAAAAGAGAAACCGAACCTCTTTACTTATAGAAAAAAAAGTTTATTTTCACTTTCGCTTCACTTTGTCTCTTTCTCACTTGTTAACACCACGTTGATTTGTAATTTTCATCTGAAGAACATAAGTAGGCTACATACATATTATTTATATTGCTGTTTCTCTTTCATGTTTCCCTCTTTGTTGAGTTTGTTTTTGTTGGTGTGTTAATTTGGTTTTTCTCGTTATTGTTCAGAAGTGTTGTTTTTACATTGTTAGTGTGTTTATATAGCGTTATGCTGTTCCTACCATTTTTTTAAAAATGTGTTATGTTAGAGCGTGTCTCCACCAAGACCGAATACTGACACTGGCAGGCCCGTGTAATTCCATGATCTACATGTAATATCCTGTACTTTTTATTGAATTTCACACGTTTAGGGTTACACCGGCCAATTTTCGGACAGGTGGACACACGCCCTTTACTTAATTTGTTAATTTTTGTGGTTGTTTATTTGCTATTCTGATTTTGATTTCATTCTATTGTGAAACTTTTATTTTTCACCTTTTACACTCAGTGTGGCTACAAATGATATTCTGGATGCTTAAAACAGAGCACTAGAAATTTTGGTGTTTTACATTAAGTTGCCTCTATCAACATATTGCTATATACGTCGTCACAGAGAGTTGAAAGCTTGAAAATTAATGGCAACTTTTTTGGCAACTTTTGCCCATTTTTGTGGCAACTTTTGGAAACTTTTTGAAAAAAAATGGCAACAAACGCAGAAGCTAGATATATTATAAGACTAGTTCAGAACCTTCCTGAGTACGTACATTTCGAGCTTGGAATTTGTCTGGTTTCTCCAAGCGCAGTAGAGGGAACCACGTACAATATAGGTGAAGCTGATTGGGCCAAGGTCCATGACCTCAATCAGAACAGTGCCATCCGCTCGAATACTTGTTCGTGTCTGTCGAATTACTGGGCCTTTTGGGGAAAAATGAAACAACGAAAGCACTATGCGGATGTTCAAATGAAAGAAACGAAATTGTTGTTTGAAGGTTCAGTCAGCCTATCAACAGATTCTGTCAGTTATGTCAGTGCAATGACTACACTCTCAGGGGGGGGGGGGGCTCTCGTGGCCTGAATGTTAAGGTGTTCGCCTCTCATTCAAAAGTCCCGGGTTCGAATACGAGTAGCGACGGAAAATTTTTCTTCTCTAAAATTATCTCTTTTCACCTCTTTTCATGCTCTCTAGCCATAATTCTGTTGTCCGCTTTTGTCTCCATTTTCTGCTCCCACCCCTCACCTCCACTGCCCCGTCCTCTGGGCTCTTGACTATTTCTGCAGCCTTTCTACCGCGACTCCTTGGCTCCTTCTTACTGCTGTCTTTCAGACACACCCCTGATCTTCTGGTAGGAAAGATCTACACGTTGCCTTCTCAGACAAGGACGAAAAATCTCGGATGTCCCGTGTGTGCACGTTGCACACGTTAAAGATCTCTTGGTAGTTTAGAATCGATGAGAGTAGACTTCGGCCGCCACCCGGGAAAAATTCCAAATTTGCTACCAACTGAAGATGTTTAATGTGTACCGCGCGCTCATATTATGACCTTAATATGCAGTTGCGAGCGCCGTAAAACACTATACTATAAAAAAAAAAGACGTTTTATAGACAAGAAAGAGAAAACAACACCAGAGTACCCCCCCCCCCCCCACAAAAAAACACAGAAAAAAACACTCTCAGGACTAGAACTTCCTTTAAAGGTTTAAAAATCATTAACTTTTAACGTTTTTTTTGTTACGTTTAACTCTCCAATAGCGTGATCAAGAGAATCTGTGAAACTCGTTAGACACCGTTAGTGTAGAGGGAGACTCGCTGTTGGCAAAGTTAGCATCATACTATAGTATAGTTCGGATCACCTAGGTTCGAATCCTCAACGGAACTTTTTTTTAACTTGCAGGGGATTTCTCGGTTCCTCGCCAACTTGATCAAACCATATTGTCAATTTAGTTTAACCCTATCCGTACACCCTGGGGTCATTTTGTACCTCCCAAGGTTGTATTCTTTACATTTTAGAATACTTCTAGTACGAGGATCTCTTTGAAACTGTTAGTATTTCTCAAAAAAATCATTTTGACAGACTGCTATGCAAAGCGTACTGATCGGATTAACGAGTAAATTTCCTCTTTGAAAGGGATGGCACAGAGTTCTCCACGTCGTATGAATACGATAGTAAAACACAACGTACGGATAGGGTTAAATTCGGAGGTCCCGCTTCTTAAAAAGTCCCACAAGTTGAAAGTGTTGCTACTATGCTCTCTGCTACTATGGCGTTACCTAGACTTCGATACTTCGTCCCATTGACCTCTCTCTCAAAGGCGGCAACAATGAGCTCTCTCCCCGCTATGACGTGTGTCTCTGCCGTGTCAATCTCGATGTACAAGTCATGAGGCGCCAGTTCGTTCGGGAACTTTACAACACACTTGCTCACGTTGTTGACCTCCACGCGGATGAGAGCGCCGTAAAAGACACCGTTGAGAACATCGTTCATATCAGTCAAGATGTGAGGTGCAGGGTCGCGGTCACATCTGTGATAGACGGGGTGGGGTGAGGATTAAAAGAGTGGGGGGAGGGGGGGTTGGGGAAGGTGGAAGGATAATCTGCCATGTGTGTGTGTGTGTGTGTGTGTGTGTGTGTGTGTGTGTGTGTGTGTGCGTGTGTGTATTTGTGTGTGAGAGTGTGAGAGACAGTATAAATAGATAGATAAATAGATAAATAAATCATTAAAAACAAAAAACAAAATAAATGAATAAATGAATGAATAAATAAATAAATAAATAAATACACAAGTACACAAGTATAAAAGTACATAAGTGCATGAAAATAAATACATGTAAATAAATAAATAAATAAATAAATAAATACACATGTGTGTGGGGGGGGGGGGGGGGGGGGGTTTTTTGGGGGTTTAAAAAAGGTGAAAGTGGAAGGGGGGGGGGTGTAAAAGAGTAGAAAGGAGAACTCGAAAAGAGTTAATTTACACCAAAAAAACAAGCTAAATAACGGCCATACGTCGGTCGGTACAAAGTAATAGCTTCTCCGGAAATAACTAAAACGAGCAGATCACACACTCAAGAACACCCACTAACCATTCTTTGGTTTCAATAGAAAGCAGGTTTGAAAACATTTTTAACACAACAGCTATACCCAGATTGCTGTATTGTGAAATTGTGTGAGCTGTTCGTGGATACACACCCGTGAATAAGCACTGTAATGTGTGACACTAACGTATTGTTTTAGCGCTATTGAACTGGGCTGTATTAGAATAGCGTTTGTCACAATATCCGTTCCATTTAAGTTCAGTCGACAAGATCGAGAGGTGACCATCTAGGTATCCCATGATGCGACCCAAACGCTGCTATAACACAACTCGTGCCAAAAATAACACAAATTAAATACATAACGACATCGGTGTGGACTCCCACTGAAAAAATCCCAAAATCTGCTTTAAAAAACTTCTTCTTCTTCTTCTTCTTCTTCTTCTTCTTCTTCTTCTTCTTCTTCTTCTTCTTCTTCTTCTTCTTCTTCTTCTTCTTCTTTTTCTTCTTCTTCTTCTTCTTCTTCTTCTTCTTCTTCTTCTTCTTCTTCTTCTTCTTCTTCTTCTTCTTCTTCTTTTTCTTCGTCTTCATCGTCTTCATCGTCTCTCTCTCTCTCTCTCTCTCTCTCTCTCTCTCTCTCTCTCTCTCTCTCTCTCTCTCTCTCTCTCTCTCTCTCTCTCTCTCTCTCCTCTCTCACTCTCTCGTTCTCACTTTTCTTTTCTTTCTCTCCTTTTCTCTTTCGGCCGGCCTATCTCTCTCTTTCCATTAATTCCATATTTATCGACCTGTGTTTCAGAGTGTATTTCTCTGATCAACACAGCTTTTAAGAGCTAAAGAAATCACAATTACCCTCAATAATAGTTGTACTCACAAAATCCGTGCTGAAAATGCTAACAAAACACAGAAACAAGCAAACGATTCTCTCGTTAAATCCATTATAGGCGGGCTTCTCTTCTTTGGAGAACTAAAAGCTAGATTATTATTGTCAAGACTATAATATTATGAACACAAGCACTCGGTTTGTAGGTCCTTGATAGCAATCTGTTGATACTTCAGCCACGATGACTAAGAAACTGTCAAGTGCACCGGCCTATCAGCATAGATTTGATAAAGTCACAAGTCATCTGTCACCACGGTTGTGTTTGTCCATTGGTGCCTCACTCCTTCCCACCACAACCCCCTCCCACGTCTTCCTCGTTCATCCTTGATGAATTGCTTGAATCATAAAGTTATAGACCACTGTCGGGTTTTACATTTTCAATTTCAATGTACGGTGTAGGAGATCGTCCCTTGTTACTTCTTGCTTCCACTTTATCGTCAGGTATGTTTGTATGTTTCTGTTTTACGTGGCCAAGGTTCTTGAGTCTCCTTTTGCTGAAATGAGAAAGAATAATACGCTATTTATCGAGTACTTTCAGAACACTTTCGTTTGTTCCTTTTTTTTCATTTGACTTTAAAAAGTCTCCTGTCAAACTTCTTTTTAGCTGACTGGGTTTTGTTTTGTTCCCTTATCAATGCCCCGGCCTCAAGCTGTACAGGTTTCTTGGGAAACCCATTATGATGCAATTTTTGCATTTCGAAATCGAGAGTCTCGTTGTTGTCTATATACTATTATGTGATGAAGGCTTCTTGGGTACAGTTTCATATTTTCTCAGCCATTATTTGAAGAACAAACAACCTGTCTTTAGTGTCTCTGTTAGATTGTAGCCTGCTTGGCGGATCGAAAGTTCCCCCTTTACTTTCTTCTCATTCTATTTTCAATGATGATCAATAGTTCCTCATTTGCACGACTGATCAAGGCGATCGTTCGAAAGTTGTCATATTCTTTACTGTTTCCAGCTTTATGAAGTATTGCATATCCCTGTATTTCCCATTTATCTGGCCAGTAGCAGCTGGTCAATAATATTACAAAGCATAAATGGTGCTGAGCTTTCATTCATGCCTTACGCTCCGCAGTTCTTCAAGGGCTCTGCGTGTATGCAACGTAAACTTGAGCGTTTCCCCTTTTTAACTCATTTATAGAAGCTTCTATTCCATTGATTAGGAGACTCGGCTGAATGCTTTGATCGCAAAGACAAGGAATATCCCCCGGCTTTAGTTTTTGGGTAGCATTAAATAACTCCAGATCCTATTCATACCATCTATTCAGAACATCTTTTTTTTCGGTTAGGGTTTCATCTTCTTTGTAGCTTAGGCAAAGACTTTTTGCTGTCCAGATGATAGTTTTTCATATTTTTATTAGTTTGAGCATGTCCGTTGATTTCTTTTCAGAGTTTGAGTCTGAAATGTTATAGCATTCTTTCTGCCTTGTCTCATCCAGGTTTTTTTTGTTTGTTTGGTTTTTTGTTTGGTTTTTTGTTGTTGTTTTTTTTTGGGGGGGGGGGTTGGTATTTACTCTAGTTCTTTTGTATTCGGATTTGACAAGTGCGGGCCTGGTTTTAAAATTTCTTCAAACACAAATGTTTTGAAGATTTATTCTTTTTCAGTCCAATCATTCCTCCGAGTCAGTGTGCGCAGATGTTGCTAATGTGACAACGAAATGAATTTCTAAATTTTCTTTAAAAGACAACAACAACAACAACAACAACAACAACAACAACAACAACAACAACAACAACAACAACAACAACAACTACAAACAACGATACAAATCTATAAAAAGGTAAAAGGCGGAGATTCAGGAAAGGGCAATACATTTTTTTAAAAAGTAGTTTTGTTTACCCAAAATGAAGAAGGTCCATGATCGTAGTGTGTTGATGATAGCAGTTAGTTATAATGTAAAGCAGCTTCAAGCTATGTTATTTTCACTTAATGCAATGGACAATTTTGCCTGTGGTTACTAACTAGAAGGAAACCAAAAAAAAATACATGTAATTACCGATCTTTTTTTATTCTTGAACATGTCAACATTATATTCACAAAATTTTAACATCGTGACACAAGTATCTGCAGGCAATGCCACAATAGAAATGTACAAGAAAAGAGCCCCTGTGTGTTCAGGTTTTACAGCTAATTCTGCCTTTGACCTGCCTGGGGCTGACAGTCCAGGGATGGCAAAAATAATCATTGTGTCGTGACACGGTGGTATCAGGTCGTGCTCGTCAGTTTATGGGCATTTGGGACTATTTATATAATTTCAATACTCGTTCATTTGTCTTGTTTTCGGTAAACAAAATGTTACGCATCTATATTGCATAGAAAAAAAGAAGTATGCAATTGTTGAAGGTGTGGGTCGCTTTGTATCAGAGGAAATTTTTAGCGAGAAAATGGCAACTACAAAATTTCTTGGGGCCTTTGATCAACGTTTTTCAGTAATTGACACCCAAAAATGTGTTTTTAAATGAACATTAAAGGTGTTGAGCCACAATGGAAGATTCGGGGGAAAAAAGTCCAACGGTCAGAAAAATGTCGCTTTCTTTGATTTCATTATGGCTAACAATTGTCATTGAAGGAAAATGTCGCGCTCTCCCACAGAATTACGTTGTCAGCGGAACCGTCCCTTTCAATTCTCCCCCAGTTATTTTCTTACATTAGACATTTTTCATAATGAAACTTATTTTGAATGAAATAATTATCTTCAGTGGACACACGCATGTAAAGTTATTGGCAAAAATAGAATTCTACTCCTGACAAAAGCGACATTATATATTAAGAGCCGTTTTTACGAACATGGCAATAGAGTTACATGTACGTTTAGAACAAGCAAACAAATTAAATAAGCTCTGCATACAACATGCTTCTACTGGAAAATCCAATTTTTCTTTTTAGAATTGGTCTTTGTTTCTCTACCTCGGAATGAGAGCACATTTTGTTTCTCTTGATTGTCATGTCAAATAGTTCTCACAGAACACACCCAATGTCACGAAGCATCGCATTGTTTGAAGAAATCTCTATAAAACCCAACCAAACACTTTCACGATGTGCCACTTTCTCTGTAACACTTCAAAGACACGGAAGATGGTAAATTAGTTTGAGACCAGGGGAGACTTTGAACATGTTAAAGTTATATCTGCTGTCTAAAAATCTGATATGACAATGTTGTCATCATGTCTCGAAATGTCTTTGTCTCTTTACTCAGTCTGATTTTCTTTTGTTTTGATTTCTCTGCTTTCTTCATTTTTAGATATCAGAGACTTCTGATGTGGTTTTTTTTAAATTCTAAAACTGTTTCAAAACCAAATTTGAACTTTTATGTTCTGCAAAACAAGGCCTTTCTCTTGACATATGTGTACATTCATGTAGAAAACAAAAGGGGGAAAATCAATAAAAAGGATCCTTTTTTGTGTGTTTTTTTTTGTAGTGTTTTACAGCTGTCGAAGCTGCATGAGGTCATATGAGCGCGCGGGACACACTATAAACATTTACAGTTTGTAGGAATTTTTACTTTTGCCCTGGTGCCCCCGACGCCTACTCTTATCGATTTTAGGACCACCAAGGGATCTTTAACGTGCACAACTTGCACACGGGACCTCCGAAAAATGTTCCCCCTTATCCGAGAATAGGTGTTCGATCTTACGTATACTAAGATCAGGGGTGTGGCTGAAAGACAGCAGTATGAAGGAACCAAGAAGTAGCAGTAGAAAGGCAGCAGAAAGGGTCTAGAGCCCAGAGAAGGTGGGGATGAAAGCAGACGACAGAGCTAAGTATCCTTTGCAAGTGGGAGTGGAATTCATTTCTTTTGGATTACCCAACCTCCCCTTACATACATGTACGCACAAACACCCCCCCCCCCCCCCCCCCACCAGAAAAAAAAAATTAATTAAAAAATTAAAACTGATCATCTGTGTACCCTCTCAGACCGTCAAGACATTACTATCACTATTTCTATTGTAGTGCCAATGTCTCAGACAAAATTCTTCCAATACAGATGCAGGGAACCGTTATAACCATAAGTTCCTTCCAACTGGTATTTGGCAGTGTAGTTCCCTGTACTCCTTTCCAACACCCCTATAGAGATCGTCACGTTCCCGTCTTGTCGGATCTTGATATGTGTGTACTTCACAGAGGTCCCATTCAAGAAACGTTGGGAGAAGGCAATGTCTTTATTCTTGTCGTGTCGAAATTCTGAAGTAGATAGAAGGAACAGGGAAATAGCGTTACTCTATGTTGCTTTTGAATCTGGACATGATAGGCTATCAATTACGAAGGTGCATTTGCAAATGATTTAGTACAGTATAATAATATGGTTTAACATAATATGCTTCAACAGAAGGTAATTTCAGGGATGAGAACTCCAAATCTAAGCTACATCTCCAATAGGAACAACCACAGCTTATTCAGGGGCTTGAAACCGCCCCAGACAACACAGTAGGCTCAAGAAGCTTGTTCTTGTTCTTGTTCTTGTTCTTGTTCTTGTTCTTAATTCTTCTTGTTCTTGTTCTGCTTCTTCTGCTTCTTCTATATTAACTGTTGTATTGTAGCAGACATAGTGTTAGCTGCAGATGAGCAGCTGTAATAATGGTAGTAGTAGTAGCAGCAGCAGCAGCAGTAGTAGTAGTAGTAGTAGTAGTAGTAGTAGTAGTAGTAGTAGTAGTAGTAGTTCTTGTACTGACAGTCCGCAGCAACTGCAGCAGCAGCTACTGTAGCAATACAAAGCTAATACTATGAATATCACAGAAAGCATTAATATGTAATTTATTGTTGCTGTTTCATTGTTAACAATATGGATGCAATCCTTTTTGTTCTTGGAATTATCTTTCGCTGCGACCCTGGGTGTGAACTGATTCATGGAGACGAAGGCAGACGACAGAACATGGTTGGATGTGGAAAGGAGGTGAAAGGAGACACATTTAGAGATGAAAATTTTCAGTCGCTGCCAGGTTTCGGAACCTGGACCTAGTGAATGAGAGGCGAACATCGCACCTCCAGACCACAAAACACCCGATGGTGATACAGTTGTGATACCGAGAGACAGAGAAAGACACACACACACACACACACACACACACACACACACACACACACACACACACACACACACACACACACACACACACACACGCACACACACACACAAACATACACATACACAGCGAACGAGAGACAGAGAGAGACAAAGACAGACAGACACACAGACAGAGAGAGAGAGAGAGAGAGAGAGAGAGAGAGAGAGAGAGAGAGAGAGAGAGAGAGAGAGATGGCAGGGGTGGGGGAGAGAAAGTGAGAGAGGGGTGGACAGAGAAAGACAGAGAGAGAGAAAGACAGAGAGAGAAAGCAGCGGAGAATAGGCAGAAGAGACGGAGAGTGCACACGTAATAATAAATGGAATACGTGGATAAAGGCTCCAGGTTCCATAAATCTTTGTAAAGTATTCTCTAAAAAGCCATTTCCACAGTCATTTCCCTTCATCTCCAGCCCATGCTCCACGAGTCTCATTAACCGATCGTTTGGCCTAATTTCTTTATTTTAAATAACAAAACAGCACCCCACGAGTAAAATTTTTAAAACTTAAAAGAAACAAAACACAGTTGATTTTGAAGGAAAAATACGCAGATACAATACCAGAGGAGTCAGCTTTTATGAAGTAGGTAAGAGCAACCCGAAATAACTGCTTGAGTAAGGGAGACAATTGCCTTATAAAGG